CAGCGCGTTTAAAACAGGATGTTGTTGTTCTCAGAAGTTGGAGCATGACAGGAACTTCATGCAGGGGATTCTAAAAATCGTGTCAAAGTCATAGGGTGAACGAGCATAAAATTCTGTTTAGAATATTGGCTAGCCGGATCAGAAGAAGGAGTTAACCGCAAGAGCTTTGAGTTATAAATAAAATCAGTTTTGAAGAAAAGATGAACATCATTTATAATTAGTCTAGTTCAGAAGCAACAACAATAATAATACTTTTTATTCACATTGTTTCCACAACAATCAATAACAAAATCATTCAATGAGCAACAATCGATGTTTTTTATTTCCACCCGTTAAAGTTCTATGTAAAAGGCATCAAAAACTGGAGACATGGTCACAACAACTGCGTGGTTAAAACCAGAAGTAGAACATCCAAAGCGCACACCAACTTGTTATTCCATAACTGCTCATGCAGTACCACCAGCACAAATTCAGGATTCAAGAGTGATATCTATATGTCATGCAAACGGCAAGAGTTTACACAGCAGCCTATGGATAGGCAATGTATCGACATAAAAGTTTAAACAAACTTTTCTCAATATAAAGCCTTTGGTCCTCCTCAGGCCTGAAATTTGCCGAAGAATTTCGAATTTCTACGGAAAAGCTACTTCATACCATAAAATTTGACGATTTCATCTATGTTCAAGAAAATATTTCGAATTTTCGATCATGTCCTGCATCTAACCAAAGTCGAAGTAACTTCTTCTCCTTTTTAGAAAAACGTGCTATTTTGCGCTGAACACAGGCTAATGTAGAGGAAAGACTGCACTATAAAATGAATCCACTTCCAGCATTCTACGCCGTTCTTCGAAAATGTTTTTTCAAGTTTTTGCTCAAAATGCTAAATAAACTCAAGCTTTTGCTTTCGTAAATTTTTCCCCATTTTTGATGTCTTCGAAATTTCTCGATGGATGTATTTAATGAAGTAAATCACAGCAAGTGTTTATTCTGTCAACCCTACTTTAGTCCAGTATTTCTGCCATTATCGTCTGTGACGATTTGCTAACAGTATATTTTCTTCAATTTTCATTTTCTTTGCACAGCAATCAAAAGAAACATCAAAGCCACTTCTTTTTCTATGAGCACCAATGTTGTGATCCAATCGTCTAATCAGCTGATTATTGATCAGCATTCGCGACCATTGGCCATATTCTGTGGCACAACCAAAGCCTTGCTTGTCTGCGTATAGGTAATCGATCCAGGTAGATAAGAAAACTCTGCGCAGACACGAACTAAATGGCGATATCGATCGGTAAGCGACCGATGCTTCAGTCAGGAGCGCTAGTGCTAGCAGGCGCCGGTAGTTTATTCGATGTGCGTAAAAATTGCTTTGGATGGCACTCGTAACGTTTTCATGCTTTCTTGGCCGTATCTTCAGCAAAGTACCAAAACAATTTTCCGTCTTTTCCACTTGACATCGCACGTCTAGCACATGACCAAATGAAATGTACGAGTTAAGTTCGTCAATTTCTTTCCAAACACCTTTTGACGATTCATCTACTACTGTCAAATGCACATCCCATTCATTTAACTCTTTCTCATTTACAACATCTTCAGTTATGAACATAGCGCCAGGATATAAAAGAGTCGCATACTCATCCTCAAATTGACTATACTTTTGTGCATCAGTAAACGCATTTATCGCTGAATCAACGATGGCTTCAAACAAAACTGTGTTTTCGGTATCATTTTTCTTTGCTGTATTTTGAACAAATTGCGCAGCAATATTTTGATCTATCAATAGTGATATAAAACAATTTGACGGATTGAACGCAGTGACATGATTTTTCAAAGCATTCAGTTCTTCTTGTGATATCCATTGTCTACGATATAACGGCAATATAACCGCTTGTGCGCTCCTCTCTTCTTTTATTTGAGCATACAAATCCATAATATAGTGATGACAACCATATAGAATGTCACTATTTTCCATTCGTAAAGCTTTGTTGCGGAAATGACACCTGAAAATGTTAAGCGGAAGAAAGCATGTCATATGGAACGATTCCATTTTGTTTAGTAGTATTCTTTTCATTCGATTGTAATGGCAGGATATGTTTGATGTCTCTCGTTCCGTAAGTTCACTTCGAGAAATTCTGCTAAGAACAAAAATCAGTAATTGTTGCCACAAAAACGATGCGCGTCTAGCTACGGCTTGTTGATACGTCAAGATTCTCCAGCATTCGAGCATATTTTCTGATACCCTCGCAGCATTTATCATGAGAGTGGTAAAAAATGTTGAACATTGTAAGCTGCATTCGACTTCTTTTTTAAAGTATTCTTGAGCTGTTGATAAATCACCACGACTGTTGTAAATCATACTCATAGCTGAATAGCATTTTGATTTTATTACTAAAGTCGGGTCACCATTATCTAACAAGTGGCTATCCAATAACATTTGATAATATCTTTCGGCGTTTTCTGTTTGTCCAAGTGATATCAAGAGTTTTCCCACCGCAATCAAGTTCGGCTCTTCCCCAATATTACCTGTTATCCAATCAAATATTTCTATTTGTTCATTATCCTGTAGCGATAAATGAACGCAATTATCTTTCTCCGACACTGATACGATTCGAAATACGGAACCAGTTAAGAAGAGAACTTCATTTTCAGACTGCGCATGACTTAATGTGCTCAAGTCAGCAAACGGTCGTATGCATACTGTCTTGTCAACGAAAATTTTGAACAAAACTGATTTCGTTTCCGGAAATGTTTCGGAAGTTTCAATTAAATCTTGTCGAACTACTAGTCGATTCACACTTGTTGAAATAAGGCCGCTCATCGCTATTAATCCACCAATATTGTTTTGTATTCGTTCAAACTGCTCGGAAACTAGGAGCTGTGCACGATACACAGTTAATGTGTTAGCAGTATTTAAAGTATATTTTCTGCTCAATTTCCAAAGTTGACTATGAATATCAGATATGAAAAATCCGAGTTGAAATAAGACATTAAGATCATTCGAGCGTAGAGCTTTGTTCAATAATCGATATAGCAATGAATCGTTTCGGTACCATTCGTTTGCTTTCTCTGGCTGATAATATTTTTCGAATTTATCGATTTGCGTTAAAATTTCTCTGTTAGATTTGAACAATCGTCGACAATGATCAGCCAAAGTATTTATAGCATTCTGAGAATATTTCACTTCAAGCAATCCATTGATTACTAACTGCATTTGAACAAACGAGGCTTCGTCAGTGTTCAGTTGTTGGAAAGACTTGTGCTTTATACTATTGTTGATGACCATAAACATTAGTGGATCTGTCTGACAAGAAGCAACATAATCTTCGATTATTCGTGCGTACATAGCATCCATCTGATCAAATGGGTCGGGAACTAATGGATAGTATTGTTTTATCGGTATTGTTTTAGGACAAGAAAATATGTAAACGTGTTCAACAAGTTCCGTCGCGGAAATATGTGTCAAGAGTGCCTCGTCAATATCACCAGATAAAATCAAAAAAAGTTTCTTGTCAGAGTTGTTCAATAGAGAATTGTAACATTTTTGAGGATTATTAAAATATATAGCTTGCAAATGACGTGTTGTTTTGTACAGCGAGTCATTATTTGTACAATCAAGCCAAAAAATCAAATATTTTGATGATGATGCATTGTTTGTAGCTCTACTCTCAACCCGATTGTCTGTGGTCGTCATAGCAGCCGTTAGTCGATTACAGTGCTCTGTGGTATGATCTAATTCCGTTATCTCTTCAGCGCACTCACCGTATTTATCGTCTAACTTATACCAGAACTTAAAGCATGATGCCAGTTCTTCTGATTGCACTAGAAAGAAGAGTCTTTCATTTCGTAGATTTATACAATCTAAATCAAACTCAAGCGACCACTTGCGGTCTGAGGTTTTTTAGGAAACCACAGATAATTGGAGATCTGTTCGACCTGATAGCCAGCATTCGATATTGGATTCCATTGTATTCAGCGTCAAGAACCATTTACCTAGAATCGTCTACTTCAGTTCAGTCCGGTACTTACATTCATTAGCCATTTTTTTCGGTTGATATTGTTGATTGTACTCGGTTGTCTCTTGACCATAAATTTCCGTCGCCTGACTGTTATTTATCATCAACATATTTGGCACATGAAGGATAGCTTTCAGAATGATTTTAAACCTTAAAGTATCCTCGCACCGTTTACCAAACAATTGTAGCGACGATTTAGATGAGAAATAGTGTTTAATTTTTTGGAAATATTTTTGATTTAAATCAATATACCGTTTGTAGCCATCGTGATAAATTTGTATAACGTAATAATCCATATCAATGTTGAATATATCTCGAACGATGGTGTCAAGATCCGTCAACGAAAAATTCAGTTTTAAATCTATTGTAGCAGCTTTCGAATTGAAAAGGAGTAATGCACGGAATGAATCCATCTAGAAAAAGCTAAACTGAGTTGGTACCATGCTTCCAAAGTGGAGTCTCTATAAACAATCTATTGTTATCGTTTTTGATTATTCATTATGATAGCGGCGGTGCTTAGATATCATTGCGCACAAGCGCTCGCGCATGTCCAAAAGCTGTGCATCACAAGTTTCAGTCAACCCAATCTCAGATATGCTGTGGTTTGATGAATACTCTTGATGAAGCTCATTCATACAATATTATTCATCGATACTTTTTCAGTAACTTCAGTTTTCTCTCATCAAGCTTGATTGTTTTTGACATTGTTTCTTTTCCACCGTGTAGCAGACACTTTGCTCCTTCGAATGAGATATAATAAAAGTGTTCGATCCTTTTGGGAAAATGA